GCCCTGGCCAAGCCAATCTCCTGACATGAACCCCATCGAAAACCTCTGGGCCATACTCGACCTGCAAGTCAAGAAACAACCACAAAACCAACTTCAAAGAGCGATCTACTCCAAGTTTTGAAGCAAGAGTGGGCGAAATTCCCACAGTCTAAAATTGATGAGATGATTCTCACGATGCCCCAAAGGATCATCGAACTCGAAAGGAACAGCGAAAGGAAGATCTACTAGATATTAATTAAATTATAAATATATCAATTCATGTGAATATGACTGAAAAGGTGGTGTCTATTTACTCGTGACCACGCTGTGTATATATACACACACAGAGAGAATATTTTATTTTATCTGTTGTCATTTTGGTATAGTTTTAAGTAATAGATTAAAAATGATGTATATTTTTTATCATGCTCATTAAACTTTTTGTTTTAGTAAATACTAAAAATGATATTTTTGTAAATTTGTGGGCAAACATAACTATGCATTTAAATATACATATATTTTTATTACATACCTATTTATTTTTGAGATGTGTCTTCAGTAAAAGTACTTGAAAGATTGCACATTTGACGAAGGCTCTCGAAAGGTTATGCTTTCTTGATGAAAGTACTTGGAGAGTTGTGCATTGAATAAAGCTTCAGTTTTTACTATATTATTTATCTGAAGTCTTTACTGTCTGATTTAACATATGTATGTTTATAATTAAAGAAGATTAAGGGAGATGTTTTATGTAATTTTAATTATTAAATTACAATCTAACTTACAAGTTTGACAGCAAATGAAAAAAATTGCATTTGAAATTTTTTCAACATTAAAGTCCCCTAGTGGGTCAGAGGTAAGTTAACTTACTTGCATAACTAAAATATGGGGTAAAATTCCTCATTGTGGACACAGTGCAAATATCCCATTGTTTAGCTTTGTGCAAAAACAACAACATTCAACATAAAAACTAATTCTAGTATTCATTAAACAGGTATTGTACAAAAATCTTTATTTTTTATTTTATTAATATTTTAAAATACTTACAAAAGCATGTTATATTTAAGAGACCTATACTTCATTGAAAAAAAAAAATCTGAAAATAAGTACTTTTCAAAGGATTCACAATTTATGAACTTAATGATTAAATTCTGTGAACAGCTTAAACAATAAGGCAAAAGAAGAATATTTGAGGAAAAATAAAAAAATATTGTTGCATTCATTGAATAGCACATTCTTCATTTTCATTTTAAATATAAAATCAATATTAAACAATTGTTTTTGGAAAAGTTAAACTACTGAACTTAAGTTACAATAATTTTGAACATACATTTTCAGTTTGCTTTTGTACTTGTTTTTAAAAAAATTACAGACCAGTTGTGCATAACAACACAGACAGATGTTTCTTTTGTTACTTTATTTATAAATATAGATGTGTGTTTTAACCAGCTGTATACTCTGTATGAAGATGGATACAATAAATTAACCACAGTATTATGCTTAAGTTGGCTGGTACTTATTTCACATTAATATACAATTCTGACTTCTATAGAACTTGCAAGGCATGGATGAGCGGAGAATTTGTTATCTACAGAACTTTCTCAAACAGGATGCTAATATCCAGAAGCAGGTGATTTGTACTGTGAACAAATGTTTAGATGCAATTGTTGGAGCAGCAAAAACAGTTGATTCTAAAAAGGTGAAATATGACATAAAAAATGTTTTAAAATCATTAAATTTAAGATTCTCAAAAAATTAAAAATTATGTTTTACACAGTTGTGTAATGATCACTGATGAGGTTTTGTTATGAACTCATTAGAAAGTTGGCAATATTGTTTAAATAATTCTTATTCATTGAAAATCAGTTTATACATGTGTTTGCTTTGATAAAATAATCAATATAGTGCAGGTATTTAATATAATGATAAGATTTTCATGGAAGAACAATATCACAGTAAACATTAATGATCTGTTTTGAAATAATCTGGTCTTTTTTTCCAACTTTTGAAAATTCCTAATACCTTACAATAGCAGATATGTAACCTCAATACTAAATGATTGCAGTAATCGCATTTAGAACTTTTAGAAAATGATGATTAAGCTAAACATAGTAGAACAAAAGAGCATATTTTCTCTACTCTATTTATTTTCCCTGCTCCTCTTTAATGGACCCACAGTGATGTTTCTAGGAGAACAGGCTTCTTCAGAGAACAGATATATCAATGTTTTCTCTCTTCTCTTGGGCAAATTTCCGTAAACTGGTTAATATCTTTACTGTACAACTTCCAAGCATAAATATTTACTGGAGCTGCATCAGAGAACATGACTGACATATCATCAAACAGGATTACTGTGATTCCTATTTTGGCAATTTTATTTTCATGAAACAGTCGTTTACGGAATGTTCCAAAAGTTGGTTTGGCATAGGCAGAACATCTGTACACATTTATTGAATATGCTAAAAACATCTGCCCTCAAAATCAATACAGCACTGAAGATGTTCAAACCATATCATCTCTACACATTCATCAATGCTCATTGTACTTACCTAAAACGTTTCTAAAGAAATAAGAAAAGCAATGTTATTTTCCTCAATTTCATAATAGCAACCAATTTCTGGGACACTGTATTTTGAGGTGTCTGGAAGCAGTCAAGCTTTTGGCATGTAAACTTCTGTCAGCTTCAAGTCGTTTGTTTATTCACATTTTGGTGGCACCAAAAGATATTCCCAGCTTCATTGGAGAGGTTTTATGGATTGAAGGGTTCTTTTTGTATGCATATCCTTCACTTGCAGAAGAGAATATTTTTCAGGATTAGCTTTGTTTATGATTTCAAAGCCCATTTCTTTCATGAATGCTCTGTTTTGTGAGCTCTTCAACTTCTGTGGAGATTGCTGAAGAACACCCTCCTTGAATTGTCCTTTACCTTCACATCATTTAACAATCTATGAATATTTCTTTATAAAACAGTTAAATACCCTTTCAGCCAATGTTCATGTTTAAAAGGAATTTTACAAGCCCATTCAGTATGGTTTGCTTTAGTTTGTGGGATAGATGCCTAGCTATTTCTTAATCATAAGTACTAGAACCAATTTGACATTTGCAAAGGAATTGGTAGCTAGTTTACAAGCTTTTCCATAATGTGTAATGACTTTCTTTACAATAACATGTAAGAAGGTATTATAGCTGAAATTTTATCTTCTGCATCAAAAAGCCTTGAACCTCTCTGATAAAAGGCATATTAGCCCTATTCTGAGTCTCTGTTTAGCACTGTATCTTGTCATATCAGAGTTGAATGTCAGATCCTGATACTTTACTGGATATGAACTCTAATCATATCAGAACTGTGAGTCTGGATCTTCTTCTTACCTGGGAACCATATCTTGTCAAATCAGAGTTGAATGTCAGGGTTTAGTACTATAACAGACATTAATTTTAGCTATACCAAAGTTGAAGGGCTGGGACTTTTATTTTGCTAAAAACCAGCTCCTGTCATGCTAAGAATTAAACATCTTAGTCCTAGTGCTACTTGAAACTTTCTTTACTCAAATCAAAGCTAAAGGTCTAAATCTTCAACTCTGCTGTGCATCACTTGTTATACAGATTTGGATGTCAGGATCTGTTACTTTACTTGGTACAATCTCCAGATATACCAGAGTTGAAAGTTTGTTGTTATGCTGGACTACACCCTTGGCTTTCTACATTTTCTAATTTGATATTAATACTTATATTTCTAATATCTCGCTTTTCCTTACCTCTATGCATTATGTTAGTTTTATTGTATTATCAACTCATCATTTAAGTTCTAAAACAAATTAACATCCAATAAATGATGAAAAGTTGTTGCACTCAGCAGATAATGTTTTGTTCACTGTAGAATCTCAGATTTCAGTAAAATAAATATCTTACAATTTTACTTGTTGTAAGACATTAATATTAGGCCTATTTCACTTTTAAGCACCACATTCTTAATGTAGTCCTTTACAGATTTTCAAGAATTAGACGAGTGTATAATAATAGTATTCCAACCACACAGTATTTGCCCATTCATTGCCATTAATGTGTTTTGCTCAATCCAGAGCTCTTCATGCAGGCTGGGATACAGGATGGTTGGAATACTGTTATTATACACTCTTCTAATTCTTGAAAATCCCTAGAGGGCTCGATAAAGAATGTAGTATTTAAAAATGAAATAGGCCTAATACTAATGTCTTATAACAAGTGAAATTTTAATTATTCTTTGTTGGCTTGTAAAAGGGTTACACATCATAACAATCATTGTTGTATTAAATGGCTTACATAATATAAATATCTTGTGATTATATATATAAACAATAAGCATTTAAAGACCTATATGACATTTCTATTATAAATACACGTATGATGGCCATAAAATATTGTTTGTATTAAAAACAAATTATGAATACAGTTCTATATATGTCAAATTGTAAATTGATTTAACATGAAAAATCCTTTTAAACCATGCAAAAAAAAACAACATTTTTATTGTTATACCAGCTTGTCAACTTATCTTCATCTTGACTTACTTTTTTAAAAGAAATAATATATATTTCATCAACATCACGAGGTAGTGTCAAGGAAAGAAATTATAATTATTATTCAGTAATATCTGAAATAGTTTACATTAAACAGTAAAAATTGAGAAAATCTGCATTAAAAGCACAAATTAGCTTTCAAATATATTTTCATACTAGCTGGAATACCTATTCCCTGGATGGAAGTTATGTAAATTCATGATTAATGAAAGGTTATCTTAGGACATGAAAAAGTTGCTTCTTCTATATGTAATTGTAAAAAATGAAGAAATGCCCATAAAAACCACAAAATTCAAGACTGACAATGTGTATGTATCTCCCCATGGCCACAATGAACCTCCACACTAACTTTGGTGAAGATCCATCTCCCCATGGACACAATGAACCTGCACACTAAATTTGGTGAAGATCCATCTACAGGGGATGAAGTAGTGGTAACAAACTGCCATGAAAACTGCAAAACTGAAAATTTGTATGTGTCTCCCCATGGACACAGTGAACCTCCATACTAAATTTGGTGAAGATCCATCTACAGGGGGCAAAGTAGTGGTAAAAAATGCCCATAAATACCGCAAAACATAAAATTTGTATGTATCTTCCCATTGACACAATGAACTTTCATGCCAAATTTGGTGAAGTTCTATTAACAGGGGGCAAAGTAGTAATAAAAAAAACATCCATAAAAACTGCGAAATGCAAAACTGGAAATTTGTATGTACCCCGACATGGACATACAACAGACAATACTATTATATTTATATAGATAAAACTGTTTGAGATTTATGATTTTTTTTTGTATATATATATGTATATATATATATTTCAACACCTTTGCAATAGAATAAATACAGAAAACTGTGTATTCTTTTGGTCAGGATTGCAAACTAGTCATTGAAAGATTGAAGACTGGATTTCCTCCTCCTCAAGATGTTCCATTTGAAGATTTCGGCAATGCTGGATATATTGAAAATGATACAGCTCCTCAGGTTGTACCAACAGAGAAAGTTGAAACTGTTCAAAATACCAATATATCATCAGGAAAACCAAAGAAACTTCATGGATTACTTGGAATTTTTATCACTAAGGTAATTACAATGCATATTTTATAGAATTTAAAAATACTTTAAACTGAGTACTCCATCAGGATATGCTGAATAATCAGTATTATTTGTATTAATAAAACTCAAAACTCTATTAATTAAAACAGTTTATTATTGTTTATGGACAACAACCAACTGGAGTTTTATGACATCGAAGACTGGAAGAACTCTAAATGGAGTCTGAAATTTCATCAGTATCAAAAACATTGTGTTACAGTAACCAGTGGTGATGGTAATACTTGGAACAGACTTGTATATATCTTTGTAATATTATATTACTGCATGTCATTACTAATGTCAACTTTACAACTTTGGTGTTTAACTCAATAACATTATATTAAACCTTATCAGTGATAATGTTAACTTCTTAATAGATTGCAAGAAGAACTCTGAATGGAGTCTGAAATTTCATCAGTATCAAAAACATTGTGTTACAGTAACCATTGGTGGTGGTGGTAATACTTGTAATAGACTTGTGTATATCTTTGTAATATTGTATTATTGCATGTCAGTACTAGTGTCTACTTTCCAACATTTATGTAAAACTCAATAACATTATTCGAAGACGAGGAACCCACTTTGTGACTAATAATGCTTGGAGATAGCTTGAATGGGTGATAAAGAAAAAATCTAACATAACAGATACAGTATGGAACAAAGAAGTCACATGATGGATACTGTTGCACGACTTATAAGAGATATCTTGGCACCCTAGGGTGTTGGTTCAGAGTAGGGTTGTTTTGTTCAATTAACATGCACTAACTGCTCAGAATTCTACATCGGAGAAACAGTAAGAAAATTGGAAACCAGATTCACAGAACACAATAAAAAACCGTCCCATGTTTTCCACCATTGCAACTCAAAAAAACATAGTATATCTATTAAATACACAGTAATTTTGAACAAAGAACCAAACATAAACAAG